AACTCGTTTCGAGAACTACATAATAGGCATATTGAATAGTTCAAACAGATATCATAGTTAAAGATGCGTCAAACGTACGTCTTAAAAAGAGGCGTCTAACTCTCATTTTTTTAAAAAATTCAATTATTTCATTAACATTTATTATTTTTGCGATACAAATTTCTCGATGTAATTTCCATTATTTTATTAGGAAATTTATATAGGATATGACTTCAAAAAAATTTCAAAAATTTACATTCGNGAAATTTATATAGGATATGACATCACAAATTTTCTGAATTTTACATCCGGAAAAGTCATATTCTATGTAAATTTTCGATTGTAAAATTTCTCACAACTTTTTTGCAAATTCGATTATGCCCTCAACTTTAATTGTCTGCGTCCGTCCCTGATCGCTACCTGCAACAAATTACTATTTTCAACTTCAAAACCATTGCCACCACCTCACCATCTCAACCACCATTTCCAACATTTCCAACTACAAACCCCCGCTAGATCCAACAAAAACCACCCAAACCGTCAATCCACTACGACGTCGTAGTTGTCGTCGCCCACACACCAAAACCAAAAACAACAACCCAACAATTTCCATCTAGAGGCTGGATGCATCTCCGGGCGCTCCTCTCAAGTAATGGCAAGGTGCAAACAGAGGCAACGCCACCTTTATGGTGCTCTGATGCAGGTGTGTGTGGGGCAAAGAGGTAAGAGATAATGGAAATATATAGAGAATGAAACGTAAAAATTGATTAGTTTAAAAGTTTGGTAGGATGGAATGACGTAGTTGTGGAGTATATAGATTAATTTAATTTTGTAATATTATTATTAAGTTAAAATAGAGAACTATCTTCTGATTTTCGTATAAACAAACTTTAAATTTGATTTTTGAATGTAGAGTATATAGATTAATTTAATTTTGTAATATTATTATTAAGTTAAAATAGAGAACTATCTTCTGATTTTCGTATAAACAAACTTTAAATTTGATTTTTGAAATTGAAATTTGAAAAATCTTGCAAGTTGTTCCCAGACATAAGTTTTGGATAACAGCCCAAGTATTCTTTGCGCAAGGCCCAGCCCAAGATTTATTTTGGACCTTAGCAAACATTTGAATTTATCCTCCAAGTTTAGTAGATTTCCAATGGAATTATCACAGATGGTACTAAACAGGGTAAAGAAAGTTTCGCTTTTAACTCGTTTTCGAAAAGTTAAAATTTACATTCAAAATTCAAGCAATTTCAAAAACGTGTAATACAACTTCGTAACAAAATCGTATTAAGAGTTGTCACAAATATTTTCTTATAGTTGAAAGAGTTGAAACTATATTTTTTTATAAACAATTGAGTATCTGATAAGTTCGACGGTAAGTGTTTCGCGTGGTTACTCGCTAACAATTAAAAGAGGATCAGACGATTGTGTAAGGGACAAACCTCTTCAAACAAAGTCCCAAAAATGAGTGTTTATCGAATATGAAGATTACAGTTTGGACACGAATAAGATGCCTCCAAGGAGCACCAGCACACAAGTATAAGGAGATTGAATTAATTAAAATTAATCTAAGAAAA